CAATAGTAATTTATTTATGTATTATAATTTATTGTACTTTATCTGATTCGGAAGGAGATCTACAATGGACAGAGAAATCTAAGATTTATTATCCATCTATTCTGTAAATTACAACTATTATGAATATTTATTTAAACGATACTTTTAAATACTAGTCTCTCTTTCCACTACGATATGTGTCGTAGAAATGTTTTTTATTCAATATGTTAGATATCAAAAACATTTTTAAATCTAAAAAAATCTGCTTTAGGTTCTCTATACACAATTTCTATCAGAATTAAAATAATTTAAAATAAATACATTTACAATTTTGCGATATGAGATACGTCACCGAGCGAATCTCGAGCGAAAGACCCGGAGGTACCACGAACGTAGAGAATTTTCCAGCTTTAACTTAACGAAGTTAAAATCGTAAGTTCCTCAATATAAAGGAAATTCTTTTGTATAGAATTTTATCTGCCTTTCCCGCCCGAACTCATTCCGAGCTCATGTCTGTTTATTCAAAGCACTGTTTAGCAGTACAGCAGTGCTAGTGTCGTAATCGAATTCGACGGCGGCTGCCTTCGTTCGCGCCGTCAGAAGACGTTTGTCAAATCCACGTGGACGTGCAAATCGGATTTGGCACTGGTTGACGCAAAGTAATTCGCGAAACTTTATTAAGGCATTCACGTACGATCCAGCGGCGTCGAATAAATAAATTTTCCGTCCTACTCCCGTCGCGTTCGCAGCGTAAATGGTAAATGCGCTTTTATTTCGATGCTTACGCACAAAAGCCCGGGATTTCACCTTTCAGGATTTTTCTCCGCGGGCAAAAATCAGGCCAGAAGTCTTTCAAGATTAAAGATGGCACGTTTTTTTTACCTTGGTGATTTTTACTCAATTTTATATACCGTCAGTTAAAATCGGCCGCAAGCCCGTCGAGATACGCGCTATTCATGTATACGCACTTGAAAATAAAAAATATATTTTGACGTTTAACGTAAAAAATGCTATCAAATTTTATTGTGTTTTCCCGACAACATCGCGCGGTTGTTGAAATTAAAATGTTGTGAGAATATTGCGGAGCTTACTCGCGCAATCTCTATATTGGTATGTAAATTAAATAAACCAGTTGGAGGGACGAGAGAGCACGAACCCTTGACATTTCAAAACTTATTTAATTAATTTATTTATTAAATTAATAATTCAATGATAATCGGAGAGCTCGGGGTATATAATAACGCTAGGTAATATTCTCGAAATGATTTAAAGTCACTTCTGGTTGCAGATTTCGCGTTCCTTTATCGCGGAAAATATCAAATAATCTTTCAACATGTTAATATTTGTCATTCTTAATATTTTTCATCCATCATCCGCGTTGTCTCGTTCTTCGTCCTCGTATTTTTTCCTCGCGTTTGATATTATATCGAGATATTATATCTACGATGTTTTGTTAGAACACACGTGCAGAACACGTTCCTTCTATTGATAAAACGTGATGTAAAGCAAGCATGATGGATGAATATGTGATGTATGTCTCGACAAATGTGTATTCCGAACTAACACCGCGAGCGTCGAGATCGAACGAAAATGTCGAGATATGTACACGAGGAAGATTCATTCGCTCTACGTTTATTCGACAACCTTGATGTTACCGATGACAAGAGAATTCCGTCTTGGCCGAAGTTTGCCTATTTATAAAGGAAAGTTTTCTTCGCGTTTTTTCCTTCGGAGACTGTGCGAAAACTTTTTTACGATCTTTTATGGCCGCTCTAAATGCGTTAATGCGTTTTGTTCTCGCGAGTAATAAAAAAGAAAAACTTACCTTCAGTCTGCAACCGCTGGATGTTGTTGCGGGCGCTAAACAGCAATAATTTTCCGATATCCGTGAGGCTTTATTTTTAAACTCCACTTTTCCACGATCTAAATTGCCTCTCGCGATGGAATTAAAGCCCAATTACGGATACGCGAGCTTATGAATACAAATGATAGCATAAAATCTGCCTGTAAATGACATTTTAATGCTGCCGTTTCTTGAAACTGAGAGGTCAAGAGAAACGATATAAATTCGTTATACAGCTAATACGTGTCGCATTGTTGTTGCTCATATCGATTATATCGGGATTACATTTATTACTTATCCGGCGCATGTTGATGAGCGAATAAAGAATAAAAAAGGGATAAGGAAGATAAAATGAAGGAGAACATAGGGGATAGGAGGGCGGGGGGGGGTGGGGGGAGGGGGGAAGGGCGATGCGCTGTGATCGCGAAAAACCATTACGCCGTATAGCGGCTCGTTCGTTTAATGATGAGTTACGCGATAGGGATGTTACCTCGCCAGACATAATGCACGCGAGAGTGGCCCTGCATGCGCCAAGTAATGTGAAACGCGCTGACACCAAAGTCCGGCATCGTACATGACACCTCGCGAAGAACGACATGTGTGTATAGTGACATGATACGCGGGCCCACTCCTCAAGTCTTCGGACCTTCTTGTCTCTTCGAGATGATAAATTTAATATCAATTCGCGGCCGACACGAGTCTAAATAAATAGCCTAGAATAGTCTAGATAAACATTAACATTTTTTTTGTTTCGAACAACAGAATAGGATAATGGTGTTACTCGATAGACAGGATCTTACAAGTTAAACCTACTCAAGTGGAGACACTGATTTCTTTCAAATTTGGCACAAATATAGACAATATAGACATTTCTATATATAGACAACAATTTGGCACTACGAAAAATATTTTATCCATATTTCATCTATATGTTTCCATTTTTAAACCACCCAAGCGGTTTTAAGGATGGTTACTACTCCTTCATTTATTACTCTCACATCTATAAATACAATAATAATATATAAGGAACAAAAATATAGAATAAAAGAATTTTTAGATTGCTGGTTATGAATGTATCTTATATTCTGTCTTATATAAATTTTGTTTTTTATATATTATTATTGTATTCATAGATGTGAAGGTGGACAAATGAAGGGATGGTAACTGTCCTTAAAACTGTTTATTAGAAGGGGCAATATTAGAAAGATGAAATGAATGAGATGGATGAAATATTCTTCGTAGGTCTACATTTGTGCCAAGTTTGAAAGAAATCGGAGTATTCCCATTTGGGTAAGTTTACTTTGTTTAAACTTGTCTAAAAATTTTTCTTTATTAAATTTATATCAATAAATTCGAAACAATTGCTTATATAATTGCGAACTACAGTTATTTTTAACGAATTTGCGACGTAGTCGCAAACTCAAAACTGTAACTAAATTATTTCCCTTTAATAAATCGATAATCAAATTTGAAATCGATTACCCCCTTTTCCCCCTACAGAAAATTCTTATTGCAAAGTTTTTTTTTTAAATTTTAAATCAGTTTCTTACAATTGTACTCGTTGTGTAACGGCATACATCTTAAAATCGATTTCAAGCCTTACTAAGGTTTTCTTCGGTTGATGACGATAGATGAACTGTGCGAAGCAACATAGATTTCATTCGATTTCTTTTCGATGTTCACCAATGTGAGCCATCCCCTCTTTTCTTTTTATACTTGAATGACGCGTCCTTCGTAACACTTAATATTTCTTCCCGAACATTTCTCATTTACATTCAATTTCTTTGGTTTTGAATAGAAATTATATTTATTTATTAACAAGTTAATCAAAAGAATTTGTTTATTTATTTCAATATAAATTTAATATTGCCGCACTTGTTGCTATGTCCGACGTGTCGATCGCGAGTTTTTTTCCCTACAACAAAATCCTACTCATCTTGATTAGAAATAACAAACGTACGACGTACTCGACATTGCTCCTATGTAACTATAATCATACTTCTTCAAAAAATGAGCCAAAAATTTGCGTGTTACAAATAATTATAAATAATTATAAATCTACAATTTCATAGTATCTAAATTCTTATCTTATCTTATCATAGTTACACTCGCATCGTTCAAATTTCAATAGACGCGTCTCCCATCCCATCGATGTTTGCAACCGACTGCAACAGGCTCTTTCAACGCGTCGCGTCTATGTTTAATCACCGTTGCTCATTATCGATCATCGAACATCGCTCGTCAGTTAAAATACGCGTGCTGGGAGGCGATGGAGGCGCGTTTTCGATGAGCCTGTGGATGTAATTGGGTCGAAGACGAAGATTCATAACCGGATATGTAGTACATCGTATACGTGCTCACCGGCGTGTATACACGTCTAATGCATCTCTATGGGTTTCCATTCGAGCTGCAATTCGGACGGCAGCTATATATCAACCGTCGTGTTTGCTACGTTCGCACTAACTAATCAACGTTGTTAATTGGCGCCGACGCCGCGGACGTTTCCCGTCCGCTCGGCGTCCTGGCGGACGGTGGAATTGCGCACAGAAATCCGCGCCGATTAATACAATGTCACGAGGGGTGGACCCGTTGTCTCGTTGATGGTGAGAAACGGGTTCGATTGTTCGTGATCTCGATCGAGACTACCACGAGGACGTTCGAGAATTCATTTAGGGTAAAAGAGCTCTCTATTGTCATTCGATGGGAGATAGTTTTAGCATTTTGAAAACCAGACCGCGTCGCTTGATTATGTATATCCTTTTTTTTCACCTTATATACACTTTGCATTTTTCTTTGTATCCGCATGTAAATACGTATGCTTCTCTTCATTCATTTATTTTCGATATCGCGATGCATGAAAAGCGCGTTCTCGATCCTCGAAAACACGCGAACAAGAAAATTATCACATTATTTTCCTTATTATTTTATATGGGCTTAAATGTAATCTTTAATTATTGAAAGTTTAATTTAAGAGGCATTATCCTTGTCGATATTACATATGTATAACAAAAACTCGAAAGCAAAACGATTGGAAGTTTCAATATAAAAATGACGATAATTCCCTAAACAATGCATTTCCAGATTTGATCATACCAACTTTTTTCTTGTTTTTAGATGCCCAATCACTTTCCGAACGATTGACCTCCATGTTTGAAATACCCTGTATGTATTTAATATCAAAGTTTGTATCGAATGATTATAGAAACTCCAATCAGATTTAATTAGGCAAGCCTCGTCTTCCAATCAATCCGGTGTAAGTTCTTTAATTTGACGACACCTCGTATCGTTTCATCGCGTACGTTTCACAGCTGTCGTTCGTTGTGCTCCGTTGCTTTACTCGAAATCAATTAAAGCGACGAGGAGTAATCACGGGGATATCCGTTATAGGGATCAGTCATCGAGTTGCCGCCGTCGTCGTCGTCGTCGTCGTCACCACGTCGCAAGTAAGACACGCCGTGCAGTGACGAGCCGCGAGGAAGTGGCTCGCATTGTCGCCCCGAGGGATCGTCGACGGCGCATTTAATTATCCCGAGCGTTAGCACGATCCGTTAATTAAGCCGCTCGAATCAGGAGCAACGCGGGAGCTGCTAATTAACGCCCGTGTCATCCTCGTCGCACCCCGGCTACGGGACACGTCGCCCTCGATCGGCGATCATCAGCAACCAATTTAACGAGAGACCATTTGGCGCACGTAACGGCCACACACGACTTTTCTCTCCTTCTCTCGAATCCATTTCTTGCCACTTTGAAGGAGGATGACGCGTCGATAATCGCGCGATAAAGGCGGAGTCGCGCGACGAGACGTCGCGACGAGACGCCGTAACAATGCGGAAATATGAGATTTCCCGCGCCGACCGGATCTCATCATCGTCCTCGTCGTCTTTGTCGGCTCGAGTGCGCTCGCACCGATGCGACTTACGTCGGTTGCCGACGCGAACGTCCGACGTCCATTGAGGAAAAATGGGTGCCAATCAATCGACTCGGAGCGCGCCCACCCCCGGAGAGGAAGGTAATACCCCGTCCCTCTGCCTATGAGGAAGCGAACGCGCCTTATTCTTTTATGAGCTTCGAACACGTTACGCGAATATGTCCGAGGATTGGTTCGTCGGTTACTATATATATATATATATATATATATATATACGCGCGAAAGCAAGTCGAATCTAATATTTTATGAGGATTTTATGATTAACGGAAGGAACAGGCGCAGCTGCATTCTCAAACACAAGTTCGAGAACGAAATTATGCTTTAGCTATCTATTCGTTTCATTGTCCCAATAATTTAAAAAAAGACAAATTCATTAATGAATTTCTTTTTTGTTTTAAATTGTCGTCAGTTTCATTGTCACGGACAAGAAACATATCGATTTATTTTTCAATTCTTTATTTAATTAAATTAATTAAATTGTAATTTTATGAATTTTATTTATTTATTATTGTGCTGAAGAAGGCTTTGTAAACTCGAAACATTTCCAAGAATATTAAATTTATATTGAACTATTGTAAATTTTTATATATTACATTGCTATATTTAGCAATTTAACATCTTGTGTGCTTGTTTAATTGATCTTTCTTGATTTATCACTTGACAAACTCGAGCTAGATCATTTAAAAACGCCTCTTTCTTCTATTTACCGTGAAGGAAAATGTACAAAATAACGTTACGTGCTTTCGAGCAACGTAAAAAGTCAAGATATTCCTCTATATTGCGATCTATAATTGAGGTAATAATCATAGAGGTAATAATTATAGCGTTTATCTAAATTTAACTGACGAAAGAAAACTGACGAATTGATTTGTACGCTAAAGATAGCATCATTGGTAAAAGCAAATTCCCCAGAAATTGGATTGGAACGTAATGATTACGTAACGAAGATAAAAAAAAAGAAGAGTGTATTACATGTCGATTGAAGGAAATTATGTCTTACAACAAAAATTAAAGTTACATTCTTGAATAATATTTATCTCAATTAATATTAATGGAATGTGGATTCCTCATTTTAGAGAGGAATGGCCACCCCCTTATTATATCGTTCCATTTGGTATCGCGTAATTCGCGTAATAACTTAAATTCTCGCTCGGGCGGATATTCGGGCGGATCTTCGACAACTTGCATCGTTGCATGAAAGATCACCTTTTTTTCTATGACGTTCATACTCCGCCGTGGCCGTAAGCTTTCGTAATATATCGCGAAACGTCTGATGTCGCATAGAAATTTTCGCTCGACTCGATTACAGAATATCGAGCTGTTGCGAGACTGTTAATAAATCTTTACTACTGCTTCTGTACCGGCGGACCTTTAATTTGACCTGGAAAAATCCGATATTCAATCTCATTGTAATTAAATTCCTGGAAGAGAGAGGGACGCTTATTCCCTGCGAAAGTCCTTTTCACTTTCTGCAACATATTGGACAGAGTTTGTCTTCTCGGTTGACGAGCTAATACGATTTCAACGCAATCTCGTTTGTTTCAATAATATTTTTTCAATAATATAAATTGAAGAAGAATTTGCAGTGCCGCGTGAGTCGTTGTCGCATCCGGAGAAATACAAAGTAGAAAAATATAACTAATTGGTTTTTATTATTGGAATTTATTTGAAAGTAAATATCCATTATTGGATAGATAATTGGCCAGAAAATCTTAGAAAGGTAAAATTGATCATATGACAAAGTTTGTGCAAAGAGAAACTGCAAAATTATTTCAAAATTGATGACTTTAAAGTGGTAAGAACGTGACTATCCCGAGAGTCGAATCTGAAAGTTCAAAATTCTCGAAATTTCCGAGTTCCTAACCGCCTTCCTCTCCCACCGCCCTCTCTTCCGGTTATGCGGTTCGGCTATTTCGAGGAGACCGGAAACCATTGCGTGCTCGTGCAATATATAAACTATGCGTTTGTGCATCCGCCGCGAATCCCTCTGCCAGAAAAGCACAATTTATATGGATGCTACAGCTTTCTAAATCGAATCTTTCGCGAAAGGAATAGACCTTTCAAATAGATCTAAAACCGCAGTTTCCGCAATGTCCTAGAGGAGCGATTCGATTTATTACCAGTCGTATCTGAATGAGAATTGTCGGAACACTCACCCTCCGGGACAAAGGAAGCACCGAGCACCGAGCAGCAATTTGAAAGTTGCCTCATTGACAAAATTACCAACGCTCGAGAGTCGATCTCGTCAAATTAACGTCAAGTTTAATAATATATCTGCGTATATGCAGAAACGAATGCCGAATGGAGCGTGCAACGATCCGATCCGCGAACCGTACGATTATTCATCCTAATCGTGCTTCATTAGCGAGAAATCAATATACGGTACTCAGCCATCCATTAAATTCGCCATTTCGCATTTCGAATTGACTCTGCGTGTTTCTGTATGTTGCAGTGAATTTCGATCATTTTCAAATCCTACGCGCCATTGGGAAAGGCAGCTTCGGCAAGGTACGTCGTGAATTGTTTTCTCCGAAATTCGCAAACACGACGAAACTGTGCGTGGTATTGCGTGGATATTGTTACAAGTCGAGCGTATTCCAGCGGATTTTACATTCGTTCTAGATGCGGCTTCCCCATCTGCCGTTTATCCCGACGCGAATTTGAACCGGTTTAGTCGATTTAGCTTTAGTTTAGGCAAAATGCCCGATTGCACCAATGTTATTTTGGCTACGTGCCTGTTTTTATTTATTTAGAAAGAAAGGCAAAGACAGATACACGTTTAAGTCTCGCTTAAAGCGAGACCAAAATAACCAATTGGTAGTGCAATTGGTTATTTTGGTCTCGGTCGATTTACTTGTGCTTACGTGGTAACAGAAGCGTACAGTATCATTTTTCTCCGTGAGCTTATCAATATTCCGAGCGATGAGATAATTTACACGTCGGAAAACACACTTGAACTTCGGGAATAAACTGGGATTTTTCTTTTCTCGTTACTGATAATACGGCTCTTTTGTATGTATGGTCGCGCAGCGACCCATTAATCCGCGCGCAATACGTAAAGTTTCATTTCTAATGCAAATATATTATTTAAAGGACGACACGTGGACCAACAAGCGCGCGATTCAGCCATTTTATTCAGCCCATAACGTAGAACTTACAGCGCGAATTGCATTTATTGCCGCTGTAAAATGCGTTACGTTCTTGATCGTAAAAAAAAGAGTTCCTCTCTCGCTTCGCTTTTATATCTATCCGGTAATGTCGCTGCAAAAATTCCGAAACTCGTTACCTCACTTTTATTGGAAAGCAAGTATGCATGCGATGCTACCTATTCTTGAATAAACATTACACTAAAAATTAAATTTTTATATTACGGATCGCTGTCGTTTACAGCCTGAAATTCAGTTTTCAGTTCAGTTCTTTCAAATGTTCTATAAAGAAAACTAAAAAATTATTTCCTTTGAATGCTGATTATGGCGATACAAAATGGGAGTGAGGTAATCGTATCAATATTATAATTTGATTTGACAAATTGTTCAGATGAAAAAATAAAACGAAGACGCGTTATCTTTTATCCCTTTCTGTCGTATCCTCTAAGAGAATTAAATATTCCTCGAATATCGAAATTTGCCAGTTGGAGAAGACCTTCGGGCAATTCAGACGATTTTAGCCTGGAGAGAGAGAGAGAGAGCGCAAATTTGCAAGCGGAATTCAGTTTCAATGCACGGGATGCAATTTTTGCTAACAGGTCTGCATCGTACAAAAACGTGACAGTACCGGCAATATGTACGCCATGAAATACGTACATAAAAACGAATGTGCAGAACGAGGCGCCCTGAAGAATGTGGCGAGAGAAGTGGAGATCCTGTCGAAGCTGGAACATCCCTGTCTAGTGAATTTATGGTTCAGCTTCCAAGGTAAATCGTCTTTCAAGACATCGATCACTTGAATAATTTTTTGGGATCTCATGGGAAACGCAGGTATATACATGGTATATCCCACAAATCTTGGAAGAACTTTTTTATGAATTCCCTACTGACTCCACTGTTCCATTGTCTCTTTTATTATTTTTATTGGTAATTTCAGAACGACCTACGATCTTTTTATCACTTTTATTAGTAATTTCAGAAGCTGCGATATTTTTATCGAAAAAGATCAATTCTCATCTAATTGAAGAATTGCAAAAATTAAGATTCAAACGTTCGTTTCTCAAATGAAAAATTAACATCAAATTATTCGGAAGATTCACAAATAAAAATGAACGCTGTAAAAAGTAATTTGTATTTATATAGTACTTATTACGAAATTTAATAAATGTGTACTAAATTTTTTAATATTGCATTACGGATGAAACGTTTAACAATCGCTTTTTATTGCAATTAAACAAAAATCGTGATAAAATATGTGGTAGATAAATTCCCGTAAATTTAAAAATTCGCGAGGAAGCGATCACAAAAATAACCAGAAATGGAGTTAACAAATTTAGTTATTTATAAAAAAGAGCAACATTTTTTCATTATTTCAAACTGATTTTTATTAAATATAATTTCTCTCGTTACTATTCAATTTTCACGATTTAATATCTTTGTAATTAAATTCTGAATTTTTGTTGAAATCCATTCCTCTTTATTCATTCGCAACGTAGAAGCTTAATTCAATAGTTACTTTATTGATATGATAATATTCGTTTGTTGCTATCTTTTTTTTATCTTCTACGATCGAGTGGGAATGATATTCCTACTCACACGTTAATCTTTACAATCGCAATAGATTGTTCCCCTCTTTTTTTAATTAAAAAGGAAAGAACAATATGCTAGAAGTGCCCGAAACGCAGGATACTCTCGTTATCGAAGTCGCATGCGAAGTCACGAGCGAGATGTCTCTTTTTCGAATTTTTTTCATCCAATTGGCAAACACGCATTAAACACGATTATACTTATCTCGCTAAGACACACAACACTATTGAGAGAAGCAGAGATCTCTCGACGTCGAAAATACGGACGATGCAAATATTTATGCAAAAACGAGCAATCTGGAGCTCGCAGTTGCTGTGAAGACTTTAATGAAAGTTGTCCATCGTCTAGATGGATCGAATATTAAACATTAAATGAAGCGCACAGACATACCTCGCAAAAAGGATGTCCAACTATATTTTTTGCCATCAAACGTTTTGACGGATAGATTGCAAATTGATTTTTAAATAATAGAAGAGTTTAATTAAACAAGATCGTATTGCAAATTCTCCACGTGAAAAATTAAGTAGTGATTAGGCAAGTAGAAGTTTAGTTGCAAATGATTGTAATGCCATCTCATTGAGAAAAGAAATATATTATAAGAGACCTTTTTAGGGATTTCTGTAATATTTCATAGAAAGAAAGCAGTTTTGCTAAAATATTTAAAAATTTGGCCAGATACAGATTTGAACATAATTTTGTTGAACCATCGAAATAATTATATAGAAGATTCAAATTAGTTATTAGAATATAAAAAGTTTTTGCAATATTATTCTTATGCTTAGATGCTCTACACAATTATTTTGATGACTCAACAAAATTATTTTCAGATCTATATAATATTTAGGTCAAATTTTTCGATACTTCAGCAAAACCGTTCTTTCCATGTTATCATCAATGTATAGATAAAAAATATAGATAAAGATATATCTAGACGTATAGATAACGTATAGATAAAGATATCTAGACATTAACATGGGCATCGATGCGACAATTAGCTAATTACAATCTCCATGTTTAAATGCCTGTATCTATAGAACAATCAAGTTAAAAGTCTTCTCGCATTGAGCTATCGTACGCTTTTTACTTTCATCCATTTTATTTGGAAGATATTTTATGCTATATTTGATTTAGCGTAACACGTTTAAATATAAAACAAGTCAGCGGACACGTGGACAAAAATCGAATAGCGATATAGCGTTTAAATTTCCGAAAATTCTGCACTCTAATTCTCCAATCATTTTAAATGGTGGCCGTTTAGCATTTTTGACTCTCGGAGGAAGAATATAATGAATAGATATATATATATATATATATATATATATTACAACAACGTGAGTACTCATTAGCTGCGCTGTCGAATGGAGGAAATTGCGCGTAACAACAACAGCAGATAATAAAGTGGCGGTAAATTTCGCGAAAACCACGTAAATTATTTGACGAGGATTTATTCGGCAGTATTGATTAGCGCTATTACGCTCAAAACGGTGTAAAATTATTTAATTCATCAATTCGTTCTATTGTTCAAACGCTTTTCGGGTTCAAACGGTTGTCGGGAAAATTCTCGCGTGCGATCTTCCGCGGCGCGGATCTATTTGGTCGAAAGGCAGTGCTCATATTGCACGTGCGGGACTGCAGTTTTGTCGCTCGCCCATGAAATATCGGGACAATAACGCATCTCCGAACTCCGGCGCTCAACTGTATCGGGCTAATATTGATCGGTCAACCGGCCGACGACCACGTCGCTTTCATCTCCCTCCCGTGGCGGAAGCGCCCCGCGTGAGTGAAAAAGATTACCCTCTGGACGGACGGTCTGAAGATTACGCGGCTGTCACCTGTTCCAGACGAGGAGGATCTCTTCATGGTGTCGGATCTGCTTCTGGGCGGCGACCTGAGATACCACATCCAACAAGAGCAGGTCGCGTTCGGCGAGGAGAGCGTCGTGCTGTTCGTGGCCGAGATCGCTCTGGCGCTCGATTACCTGCAGACCAATAGAATTATTCATCGGGACATCAAGCCGGACAACATACTGCTGGACGAGGAGGGTGAGTCGATGATCCTTCCCGTTTGTCGAATGATCTCTCGAACTCTCGCGCCTTTCCTTCGCGCCAATAGCAGCCAACCGTGATCGCATGAGGATAATACGGATAAGGATAATTAATTTCGCCCGAGAGAAATCGTAATTCCGAGCGAGTGGAATTTCCTGGAGACTCTTTTTCCTTTGCGCCACGTATCTCGGAAAAACATTCGAAAATCTGATAACCATATATCATTTTAACGATATAAACGATAGAAGCGAGCTCGATGCATTACGCATTTTCTTACTTTGCAAATTCATGTGAATTTAATTAAATAAACAATACAAGTTACAAGTCGTTTAACTGTTGTATTTTTAAAAATTTCGCATATACATGTGTGCATTTGCATTTGTACGAGACGTAATGAGACGTAAAATTTAATAAAATTAATTAAATTTATTCGAATTAATAAACTACTGATATGATCATAATATTACATAAAACGAATGCGTTACATACATCAGTTAACCCTTTCAGTTTTGAATTTTTTTTGAAAAATAAAACTTGTTGTTTTGTTATTTTTAAAGGTTTAGAGGGTCGCTGAATACAAACATAAAGTCAAAACATAAAAATTAAAAATAATCAGATCCGATATAGCAGATTCAAGAAGTAAAATATTATGAAATTACAAAGAAATAAAAAATTGTTTGGAGTTTTTTGGATTACTAAACATGAAAAAATAATGTCGAAAATAAAAATTACACATAGCCGATCTAAAAAATAAAATTTAGTATCAAATTGTAATGTAATTATTTGTTATAGAAGAATGTATATAGCGCGTCAAAGAGGACAAAAACGACAAATCTTCAAAATTGTGATGTGATAACCAAATTTTAACAACTGATTCGTGTCAGCAGACAAAAATACATCGGAAATGATTATTCATACTTGTGTTGCAAAAAAAAGGATCAAATTTTGTCGGATCAAATTTTGTAACAGTGTTAATTCGAGAATTTTCTGATTATTCTACGTAATAATTTCTACGTTAAATAATTTTTTTAAATTTTATGCTTGTATTTATCACATTTTTGATTAAAATTTAATTTATATTTCCTGATTGACTAAATAGCTTAATAATTATGTAAAGATATTAATTTTTTTTAAAGATTCTAATACACACACACACACACACACACACACACACACACACACACACACACACACACACACACACACACACACATCGATATCACTAGACCCGAAAGACTCTTATGTAAAATCTCGCGATTTATCGTGAATTTTAGCGGTGAGAAAGATCATCGTAAAAGAGTTAGAAGTGTAGAGTAATCTCCGCAACAAACAAGTCGGTCGATATGCTCGCCACTATTTCGAGTTACAGCTATTACAGCTTTAACAATGGCTACCTGATCCCGAGTTTCATTTAATACAATGCGAAAGTCGTATTCAATGTAAACACGGGATGAGACTTGAATAACCACGCCTGCGGTGTATGTAAATTCAGTACATAAACTTCGAGTCCGATCATGTTAGTTCTCACTGTGCGCGTTTACAAATCAGGCGAGAGAGAGTAAATCTCGGCAGAATCGTCGAGGGTGAGGAAAAACGGGAGATTTATCACAGGAGGTTTTATTTTACAAGATTTATTTTCTTAGACATATTTAAGACATATTTAAGATTTATTTTCCCCTTCTTAATCACCGCACTCGCAAATCTCTATGTATTACATTTACATTTATGAATCTCCGAAACTGGTTAGAGACTCGTCCGTGGAAATGTGCCGCGATTTTTCTCAGCAATGAATGGTTGCATTCGCGTTTGTTTGCAATTCCGTAGGATTAATATATCTGAATGTAGAGTAAGCAAATTGTGGCGATACAAGACGCCGCGTGCAGCGCGAAAAATGTGTGCGAGGCGCGCACCGCACGTATTAGACCCACTAATTGCAGCTGACGTCGCTTCGCAAGCAGAATTCAATAAATTGCCGCTCTCCAGTGAAGGATTTTCTATTAGGTAGAGTCACGTGAAATCAAAATCTTATTTGCAAAATATTAAACCCTTCAACGTGGAATTTTGGAAAACTTGTTGACGGCATATACGAGTCTTCTCTTCCGATGTAATATCGTTTGTTAGAAAAATACTTTCGAGGACACGAAGATTTCATGAGTCCTTCAAGATGTTCAACATGGCTCACGGAATATCTTGGTAATAAAAGAATCGGATGAGACGAGAGAGAGAGAGAGAGAG